ATACGATTTTGCATGCATGCCCATGAACAAGCTGTGCTATCCCATGCCCTCCTCTCTATAGCTAGTGTCCGCCAGCTAGGACTCGAACAATTATTCAAGCAAGCAAATTAAACAATATATGCCTCTTTGATATATTTGCCTACATACCAGAGGTTTCAAAATAAGCCGTCGCCCGTCGCATCCGACTGCAACTCATCCATTTGCAACGGCTACTTTCTCTTTTGTAAGTAACTATAAATTCTAATTAAGTGTTTACAAAATGTTTTGTGAGCAAACAAGCGTGTATTTCCCCTGGAATTTCGTCGAAACATAGCCACAGTCACAGATTACTAGATTAGAAGCTTTGATACGTACGCGTCTCTTGTGTGTTGAGGACAGGCTCAGAGGTTTTCTATGAGGGGTCATGACCGCCAAAATCCTGTTTCAAATTCGGATGTGGCGAACCTAAATTCTGTTGTTCCAAATTGTTGCGAATTATAAATTAAATATAAATTAAAAGTTCTCTCTGGATGTCAAACCTAGGCCTTCCATGCACCCACGATGCACCCCAGTGAAGATTCTATCCACGCGATACGCAATGGAAACGGAATTCTCGCGGGATAGTATATGTCCTTCACCTCTCGAAGAAGAGTAATAACTATCTCAAACACATTTCTCTCTGTGTTTCGTTAATCTGAAGTATATCGACTATCGTGTCAAAAGGTTGATAACCCAATCCAATCTGAACAGAACATAGTCGTAACTGACGTCATCTTGGTTTCCTCTCGCTAAACGCTGTTGAATATCTACAATATAAGTATATAACTTCTAACTTCTCCGGCTATAAGTTCTGAATTGGATGCCATGTTAAACATAAAAATATTGCAGCACTTGAAATATTATAAAGCTTTAAGCCAGAGGCTTTATAACTATAATATACAAATAATGAATGTTTATGAGTGCAATGGTAAGAATATTTTCATGAGGTGAAAGATGGAATGTTCCATTCAACGAGGCGACAGCCGAGTTGATGGAACATTCCATCTTTCACCGAATGAAAATATTCTTACCATTGCACGAAGAAACATTTATTATTTGTTTTATATAATACCAAAATAGACTAATAGATTCGTATGAGAAGCATTTTGAGGGATGCGATTTATCGAAAACACAAAGAGTGCAATTGTACTATACGTTTTATTCCATTGCACTCGCGGAGAGTGCAATGGAACGTGTTCCATTGCACTCTTGGGAAATGGAATTTTCTATTCAATATCACGTGACCATAAACAGCCAATTAAACGATTAGAACTCAATAAGGTATTATATAAACAGTTTTATGTAAGTTGCAAAAATTATTTCAACTTTCAGTTTATAATTATATAAATTATCATAAATTAGCTTATTCGTTCCTGCACTTCCGGCGATATGGAAGTTGGAACCGAATTTGAGATCGCAGAACCGAATTTGAGATTGCAGAACCGAATTTGAGATTGCAGAACCGAATTTGAGAATAGGCCGTGAATTCTATTCTGTTGTTTTGAATTATGTTTTGTCGTTTTAAATTTTTAGTGCTATTTCAAATCCTGTAATGTTTAGTTAAATTGTGTTCTGTTGTTTCAAATTCTATTGCGTTGTTCTAAATTTTGTTTTGTTTAAAATAATGTTGCGACAGTTGCGTAGTTCTAAATTCTGTCCTGGAGACGTAAATTTTGTTGTGCACGTTTAAATTCTGTTCTAATAAAACAACAATTTGGAACAACAGAATTTAGGTTCGCCACATCCGAATTTGAAACAGGATTTTGGCGGTCATGACCTCTCATATTTATTAAGAAACTTTTTAACAGCAACTAGTGAATTTGGTTCCATTTCCGGGGCTCCGGGAGGTCTCAGATTTCAAAATTTCCTGGAGCAGCATGCCCCAGGACCCCCCTAACAAACTCACGATTTTGGCGTTCGCTATAGCCCTCCCCCCCCCTAATCCAAAAATGGCTCCGCAGTCCCTGAGCATGCCGTCAGATCCCCCAAGTTGCGAAGTTCGGCCTTCGGTTGCAACTCCTACTCTTCCCAACCCAACGTCTACTATGAAATGTTTTGAAACCACTGCATACGTATTATGTATTTTACAAGAAGACGTGTCAATGTTTATATTTCTTTTTTTAGATGGTGGATCTTGAAATTCATCTTCCAAATTCCGACGTGCGAACTTATAAATTTTATAAAACTGACACACTGAAAGGTGCATTAAAGATGGTTTGCACCAAAGAAAAGCTACGTGTAAATGAATATTATTTTCATCACATGCAACGAACTGATGATAGTCTCGACATGGCGCTTAGAATTGGAGATTTAAGAACAGACAAGATAAGATTAATATCCAAACGAGGTTGGTTGTCCAGATATTCTTATTTTACCATACATCCCTCGAATATCTAGATTTTAATACTTTAACAAATAACCACCAAGGGTACTGTTTTCCAAAAAAGCCAAACAATTATTAATTTAATGTCGATTACATAGGGTGCATGTGTATCCAAAATCAGTCGCCCGAGCTAGGGTTCATGATATACGTGCTCGATAACTACAAGGCCAATATAGTTTTTGGCCAGGGAGGAAAACTGGAGAACTCTGAGAAAACCTATATATAAACGAGAACCAACCATGCTCAAAACTTACAGGGAATTAAGTTATCTCAGTTATTAGTAAATACCCTATCCTCACAGTGGCGTATAGCTATAGCCCAACGATTCAGTCCCGCTATGCAAATATTGCCATGTTTATAAACTATCAACACAATCAATTTCTAAAGAAATGAATAATGATAATGAGTTGACATTTGCATATATAGCTGGACCAAATAGTCGGGCTGGCTACGCCACTGATCCTCGACCTAACAACACAGCAAGCTTAACTCATCCGTAGAGAGGTGTGCGCTAATGACATCTGACAATGCATCACGTAAACAACCACGCACTGACGTAATTATTCTTAATTCCTAGAAATGCGAGAAGGTTCGACCAACACCCTAGACAAGGTGAGCATATCAACTTCCAGAAAGAAGAATCGTGGCATGTTTTCATTTGTTCGTAGAAGGTTTTCGAGAAAAAGAAAGGAATCACCACAATATAGTTCCGCACCTTCTGTCATCCAATATACTGATAATGTTTTTATGGTTGAGCGAACGGCAGGGGAGCAGGTACGATTTCAAGCTCGACCGAAAAATTATCACAAAATTATCGAATCGATTAGTTTTCCATCTATATTGAAATATTTTATAAAGATTTTAAAAAAAGAACCTGGAGAAACGTTTGCAAATAAAATTGATAATATTCAAATTTTGTGTATTTTATTTGAACGTTTATGAAATTGTATCATGCAGGGGATGGCGCGTTTTAAAACAAAAAATGAATTTGGAAAAGACTGCGGAGTTTTTCCATTCTTCTTTGTATAGCAGTTTGACATATTGTTTTACAAGTATTCTATTTTGTTACAGAGGATTGATGAAATTCATCTGCGTGACAGTAATAGTTCTGCTAATTCAGGTATTTTGACAACATATTTGTCCATCAATATAGCCTTGCATTAGAGAACAGTATTTACAGTATGGTCAATTCAGTTTATCTATATTTGTAATAGAGTTTACTATGCATACATAACCTCTATTCAAAGACCATGATGGTCATGTGGTGGCAACCTAAATTCGCCCATAGTTAATAGAGGAGATGGTTTGGAAACTCGTTAGCTGCATTACAATAAAATCACAATAAACCTCATTATCTATGTTGTTCAGGTTTATGCAAAAATGTGGTCTTTCATCGTCACGTGCGTATTGTATTTTCCTCAAGTCAACCAATAGGAATGTTCAAAATGTCCTATTGTTAAAGTCATGGATGGGCAATTGGACAAAACCGTTGCTATTGGCTGGTTGAGCAAAAATACAATACGCACGTGACGATGAAAGACCACATTTTTGCATAAACCTGAACAAAAACATAGGTAGTGAGGTTTATTGTAATGCTAATAAGTTTCCAAACCATCTCCTCTATTAACTATGATTCGCCCCTCCCCTATATTTCGCAACCGGAGGCCGTCACTGCCGCACTGTTGTGAAGTAGTTATCAGAGATCGAAAATGGTGTTAATTCTTTTCATTATCCATGTATATAGTAGTCTTCCACTTGGTAGCAAATAAGAAAAGAGAATTATAGATCAATTTTCTTGCTCCTATATGTTTCGCACTGCTAAACATTTTCATTAATATTCTGTCATATACCAAATTTCAAATTTTATGTATGCTATCGTCAGAAAGTAATTTTTAAAAATTGTTATTTTGAAACCCCTCCATTAGAAATACATGTGGTTGCCAGAGCAACAAAGAGCGACACAACAGGCGTAAAGATAATGTCCAGTACTCTACCGTCAAGAAGTGTAAAGAGAAAAGCTCCTCCACCCCCACCGGGTCTGAAGTTGATTATGCCAAAATCTCAACAACCTACGTCAGGGGTCAATGGTCATCACACTATTGATGGCAAAAAAACGACTAAGAAACGTCGAGCACCATCACCACCAAATAACGTGACCACACCAGCAACACCAGTAAATGATGGTACTTCGCCAAACCAAAATGGTACAAAACCACCAAGACCTCCTAACCCACCATCCATCATAACTAGTCCAACCAATTTACCACATTTAGGGACAGAACACGAAGTTCCCGAAACGTCTGATAACGTTGACTATAAGTCACCATTCCCAGTATTCATTGCTCCACCACCACCAGACAGCACACCCCCTCCTATCGACGAGTGCGAAACTCCGATAGGACCTATTGATTCAGAATTTATAGGTAAGTTAGCAATGATTAACATTCTTGCTCTTAGCGATGATTAAATTCGATGTGTTTGTTATGGTCGATGTCAGGTTTCAGGGCACAGTTCCCCAGGATTGTTGCGAAATATTCCAAGTTACGTTTCTAAATTTGGAATATTAGACGGGGAACTTGTATATTTAATTGCGCAAGTTATTTTGTTAATTACTAAAATCTGAACATACTCTAAACTTGTGAGTTGTGGTGTTTAGGGAAAACGAATTCCTTAAAGGCTCACACGAGCGCCCGTTGATTGGCGGTTGCCAAACCTAAAATGAGCTTTATTCTCTTTTAATCAGATGACGGTTCAGTGGAGATTCCTGTAGAGATCAATGGTATAATTGATGATACTAAGTCACTGGATTCCAAGTCTTCAGAAAACCGCGAAGACGAGAGCAACAAGGAAGCGCAAGTTAAAGTGGAACTAGATGCAAAAGATAGCACTAAGACAGAAAGTAGTGAAAACGACAACAAAGATGTTTCAGATACAATTGAAAAGAACGGACAAAAAGAGGAGAAAATAGTTGAAGATCAGACGAAGGTAGCTGAAGACACAATTGACGGCGACACATCATTGAAGGGAAATGAAACTAGTACTTCGAACTCAAAAGAAAAAAATAAACCACCAAAGGTAGATGAGAATGCAAATTCACTAAATCAAGAAAATACTAAGAACTTGACTCCAGAGCAATTACAAGCTTTGATGATGAAAACACAAAATCCACAGGAACCATTGAACCTTCAGAATCAACAACTTTTTGCAATGCAACAAAATCAACAAATGCTCTCGAATATTCTTCTTCAACAAATGCTTCAACAGCAAATGACACAACAACGACAACCTGCTATAATGCCGATGCCAATGGCCGGAGTGATGCCTGTATCACCCTTGCATCCCATGCAGCTTGGTGGTGGTGTGAACACCATGCAACCTGGTGGTATGATGTCACCAATTGCTAATTACCCTAACCCTATGTGGTCACAACCTTCTGCCCAACCATTACCACAACCTGTTCCACCATCAGAGTCAAAAGGAACAAATGAGGTAAAAACGTCCACCAGTTCAACTTCGCCAGATAATTTGCCTAAAGAAGTAAAGTCTGAGTCAGGTTCTCAAACCGAGACAGCGAAACCACCTCTGCCAGTCAAAGATGAAGAATTAGTTAACCGACCTTTATTCAAGAAGATGCTTGCCCAGGTCTCTCAGGGAAAAATCCAAGGTATTCCTCGTCAGACGAGTCACGATTCTGAGGCTACTCCAACATCTCCAATTTCACCAACTGCTAAAATTGCTAAAGCTCCAACATCGTATGTTGCAAGTGCTGAGAGAAATGTCCCTCAATCGAAACCCGAAGAAGAGCGAAAAGCTCCGATAACTCTCGGTGAAGCTGGGCGAAAGTCATCTTATGTTGACAGCGCTATAAGCAAGAAAAAAGATGAAGATGTTATTCAAAATGATGTAAAGGTTACAACTAAAATTCCCGAGAATAGTGCGGTTTCTATAAATAAAATTCCTGCACAAGTAGTTGTTGTAGATTCTACGATAAATAAACAGAGCAAAGCTACCGAACCTGACGTAAAAATTGAGAAAACATCTCAGCAAGCAGTAATGGCAACGGACAGTAGCAACGTTTCGCGCAACGCAAGCACCTCCATGGGGAACTCAATGAAACACGAAAACACTTCATCAAGTGTAATGTTCACTCAAACCGTACCTTCTGCACCAAATGTTCTCGATCATAATAAACCGTTGGTGGGCTTCAATCAAGTGCATACCGTCAACACACCTAAACCAACATCCCCGACCTCTATCCCGAGCGTGACAGGTGGAGCGTCGGTTTCTGAAGTGGAGAATGAGAGACAGACCTCTCCTATTGTTAACAACCACACTCCTTCCCTAATTACATCCACGTCTTTCGGCCCCAACCCTAACCCAGGTGCAACAGTGGTAAATCACAATTCTCCTAACCAAGCCAATCCCCCTGTAAGTACCCTCCCTTCAGGTACCACTGTGGTCAATCCTCCTATCCACTCTAAGCCTCCAATACACGCACCTAAACCGCACATCTCTGCTTCAGGTGTTGCAGTCGTAAATCATAACACTCCTAACCAACCATTAGTAAACACCCCTAAGCCTCCCACCAACCCACTCAACGTGACCTCCATAGCTCGGCAAGCAGCACAGGTTGCTGCTGAAAAAAGAAACTCACAGATTTCAAAACCTCCATCGTACGTTGGCCATACTCCACATAAACTGAAAACTGAAGAACCAGTTCTGGGAACTTTCAAATATCAACGAGCCTTCGTTCCACCACTTTCTCCGCCAACAAATGCGGGACTTAACCAAAATGGTGGTCAGTTATCTTACAATTATGCTACCACTGGTAGAATTAAAACTGACGGTGCTAAACCACCTCAAGTTGCTAAAAAACCAAGACATATGTCAGAACCGAAGCCTACTGTTGCAACTAAACCTACTTATGACATTAGACAAAGTAAGGCATTGCCCAACAAAAGTAAGAAATCACAACATATAAATATTTCGTTGAGTTTATCTCCAGAAGAACGAATGCAGCTTCATAATAAATCTGGATTGGCAACGAACGCGGCAGGAAGATAAGGTAAATAGGTCGTGTTGAAATTGACTATACGGAAATTCCGAACAATATCGACGTTTCGACTAATATGCAGGATTCTACTTGATTAGTATCCTGATGAATATTTGTCAAAATTCTTCGGAGTTTCCATTGTCAAGAGTATTTGATAACTTTTATCAGCCATTCACGTTTAAATTTCCTCACACTGAATGAGCCAATGAAAACCTTCAAATGCATGATCGTCTGGGTGAGCATTGACAATGTTTTCATGATAATAGACAACGTTTTCATCTTCTCTGTTTACCCTTACAGGCAAACAACAATATCTGTGCATCATGCGTGCAGACTGTGTGGCCTTATAGATATCGAATGACGAGTGCAGCTTGCTTGCTCTTGCCACGCATTAGTAATTTTTTGCCACCAAGCCAGGCGATTAAAAACTGAAACCTGTTTGCATTTTCTGCTGTTTTTGAATTTTGCCTAATCCACACGGACTTTGAGCGGAACCACAGGTTTACAAGCTTATCTGGTTTCAAAGACAAGTTTCAGATAAAAAGCTTAATTAAATTATTAAGTGCATGATGATTCCAATGCAATTAAGGTCTTTTTTATATCCACCGGGCACAAGACGTTGTTTCAACGTTGAAATTTGGTAGGAAAAAGGTTGCGACGTCGACAACCTAATATCTACGTTGCTCTGACGTTGTTTTACAAACATTGGTTCAACAGCAGCCAACAGACGTTGAATTAACGTTCATTCATGGTTAAATATACGACGTCGATTTGTGAACCAATCTCAACGTTGTTTTAACGTGGATTTAACGTTGAATTATGGTTGACGAGATTGGCAACCTAATTTCAACGTTGTTTCAACGTCGAAACAGTAACGTCGATCCAATTTGCATAGTCAACCCTTTTTCAACGTCTATCCAACGTCTGGAAGGTCATTTCCAACGTTGATTCAACGTTGGATAAACGTCATTTTGCCCGCTGGGTACTCACCCTCCAGCTATTCAAAAACAGCAATGACACTCAAGAGAAGCTCAGATTGAACCTCCACTCATTGAGTGTGAGTGAGCTTTTAGAATACGGGCGTTAGATTGTTGTTTTATGAAAGTTGTACAATTTTTTATTTCTGACATGTAACATTCCTTCAAAAAATTTGATCCAATTTATAATTTTTCCATAAATTTTTTTTTAAATTGTAGCCACATTAAGCGATATATATTCGCTTTCTCAAGAATTACGTTCGATAAGTATGAATAATCACATGGTCGTTTCACCTTTTCTTGAATATTCTCAGTCATGTTCACTTAAACGTAAGAGCTTTTAACACAGAACCACTAAGAAATTTTCCCACTCCAGTGACCAATCCCGCAATCGAGAAAGCAGTATCCACGAAGTTGCTCCATTTACGTCTAACCACCGTCTTGATGCACTCGGTCCAACTTGTGATATTTGTGTCTACGCGTAATTCTCCTCCGCAGAGTTGAACCACGGCTTCGTGATAACGAGAACCAGAGTATAAAACAACAGAAAAATGATCGCAATAACACGTGATCACGAAATTCTTACGAGCCCAAGATTCAGCCTCGGTGACAATCAAACGTGCCTTTTGCATCACCCTTCTGCAGTTGTAACATGAGCATTTGTTTACGTACGCATTTATATCTTGATGATCTACTGACGAACCACAATTGACCTTTATCGACATCTAGTAAAACAATAGTCAGAATTTTGTTTATGTGATATTTCAAATCCGAGTATGACGACTGGACTAGATTTCAAGTCCGGGCAATTTGATCAAGGACTTGAAATCTAGTCTAGTCCGAGAATTGCAGGATTTGAAACGACATCTTCTACGAATAAATTACTACTTAATTAATTTGGATCAATGTACTTCATCAGGTATCCAGTATTATCATGTGAGCAAAATAAAGTAATATGGTTGGCTAATTTACTCGTGCATTATTAATGAGTTTGAGATACAAGTTTGAAGCATGTCATTCTAGTAGGCATCCTCTCGTAGAAGCCCACTCTTCAAGTAATAAACCCCCTCATGTACATCCTCCTCCCTCTAATACATTCTTCCCTCTAATAAGTCTCCCTCGCAGATTCGCTGTTCCCTTTCTAATAACCCACTCTCATTGTGGCTTTGCTCCCTTTAATAATTTCTCCCCTCTCCAATAAGCCTTCCTTTCAGATTTGCTTTCCCCTCTCTAATTTTCCGCCACTCGTGCAGCCCTCCTCCCATTAATAATCCATTCCCTCTCTAATAAGTTTCCCTCTTAAGTTGGGAACTGTCTGGCCTGTCTTTTAAGGTGGCTCCCTACAGTTATCCTTGTTTAAGCAATAATTCCGTAAAACAGGCTTATTCGTGCAGAACGCGAATTCTTTTCGACTTGGTGGCAATATTGGTCACCTAAGGAATATTTCGAACTAGATTTCGACGATGTCAATGTTCCCATGGCAACATGACGACAGCATAAAGCCTTCCAATTTAACCCACAAATGTGCCGTTATCTCAAAAACGATGTCGGTGACCTATCTTTTTTATTTCATATATCAATAAGGAATGATGCTCTGCAACTGTGGTGAAAGTTTAAAAAAATTCTGTAGTGTGTGATTTTTTTAAAAGCGAAAAATTTATTGCGAAATTTCCACACTACAGATTTTTTTAAAATTTGAAATTTATAAAATTTACCGCAAAATAAATTTGTGGTCAAAATTTGAAGATAGGTCACCGATGAAACTAATGAGTAAAATGCAAATAAAGTTAGAAAATAGCCTCGTGTAACTCGAGAAATTCCCCTTATTGAAAAGCGTCGCTGACTAGTAAAAGATTGTACGCGGGCGCAGAACGAGTTTTCATTCAGCAAAATCGAGCCGCAATGTTGTTTTTACTGTTTTGTTTTTGTCAACTTTTCGATTTATTTGAATGCTATGGACAGCCAAGGATTATTGTGAAGGATTAAATCGATGAAAACAAGGTTGAAGCTAATTGAATCCTGCCGTTTACTCAATCTATGAGCTGTAGCAGCCTATTATAAACAGGTGGACGTGTTTTTTGTTTCATGTTTGGTTTTGTACTTTTTGCTAAAAATGAACAATTAGGCTATGAAACTGAAATATTTTTCTGTTTACATATAATCACTTTAATCTTGTAGAAACACGACTAAAAACGTCAACGTTTTCTTGAAAAGTAAACAACTTTTTAAACGTTTGTATGCAATTTTGCAAATGTTTTACAGTTGAGTCAGTTGACAGTGTATAAAAAAAATTAAAAATATTGTTTCGTAGCTATTTTTTGGTCTAGTGATATTCGTATCATATGTAGAATTTCTGTATAGACTCGCAAGTGATTTGGCACTCAAAACGAAGTATTATTCAACGCTTTTTTCCATTAGAAACCTTTCAGAAATAGCTTTATTTTTAAAAAAAGCATGGTCAATTTTTGTTTTGTTTTGCTCATGCAGTTGCGTGGGAAAGTTCACGTACTTGTCCCGCGAACATCCCGCACGAAATTGTAGGGAGCCCCCTTAAACCAAACAAAATGCATTCTTTTTGTCTTCATATTCAGTAAAAAAAACCCTTTCCTTTGCATTAAGCTATCGTTGATATAAATACGATTAACCCTAAACTGCTCTAACCAAAACTCGATTTTTTGTTGGTAAAGAGCTTTATGTAACCAGTGGTGTAGTTCTGGAATGTTAACACGGGGGGCTCTACAAAAGTGTCCTGAATTGGTAAGGGGGGGGGGGGGTGTTTACAGTGTAATATTTTGGATATTCTAAATTTTGTTGGAAACATTCGAAATTAGTCTTGTTAAAAACATTTGCTGTTAGTAATATAAAATATTCTGAGCGTCTCAAAAGGATATAAAATTCAAAGTTTCTGTACTACCTTTTGAAGATGTAAAGCCGGCGGTGTACCTTCAAGTAAAAACCACGTTCAGTGATATGATTGGTTAACAAAAAAAATTGCCGTGAAAAAATAGGACGCGGTGAACTTCCCTTCCTCCAATCAATTTCGCCCTGGAAAAGCAGGGTTCAGAAAATATGAAAATTTCTGGCTGGGACTGTGACTTTGATTCCTGGTCTAAATTTTGCATCTTATACTAACAGCCTAATATTTATAAACTGTAACATATATTTTGAAATATCTTCGGGATTTCGGGAACCTGTTAACAACTTGTAACAACTTTGTTGATATTATCAGACTTGTTATTGCAAGGTTGTTCCAACAAGTCGAATACAGTCATGATATAACAATATTGTTACAACCTTGTGTCATCAACTTTGTAACATTCTTGTTATGTCATGATTGTATCAGACTTGTTAGAACAACCTTGCATGTAACAAGTCTGATAATGCCATCAAGCCTGTTACAATTAAGTTGTTAACAGCTAGTTCCAAATTTGTTGCAACAACTGGGAACAAGCAGTGCGAACACAACTTGTCGACAGCTTCTGAACAGGTTTGTAACAACTTGTTTGCCGCAGACCCGTAACAACTTGTGCGTTTTTACGTGTGTGAATGGCAAATTCCAAAATTTATTCAATATAATAATATTTAGTAAGTTCCTCGTGAGGAAGTTTTCAAAAGAGTTAAAGATGAATTATCCCAGTACATGTTATTCCTTGTGGATCTAATACTTGTTGAAATGAATTATGTGCTGATGAAATTATTAAAATAATTTGGGTTTTGATCATTCGTTTAAATAAAAAATTAGAAACTCTAACTACACAACTCTAAATATTTAATCACATGCAATATTTCTTCATCCTACGTATACTGTCTGTAATATCTTGGTGCAATTTGCAAAGTACATAGCTTTAAAATTGATCTTAATGTCTATAGATAAAATAAAAGCCTCCACCTTGCGTTTTTATGAAAGGAAAAGGGTGTATAACATTTGTGTTTGTAGGATGAGAAATGTACTATTGAGAAATACCAAATTCTATAACCCTGTCAGTGAAAACTCTCTGAAACCTGTGCATGAACTCATGGTACCAGCTATCAATAAGATCATTGTGTAGGTAACCCCCCACAACAGAGGGTGTGTGTCTGTTACTGACATAACGATACTTCAAAATTATAATCAGTAGTTACATACAAGGTCAGAAATGTATACCAGCGTCCTTCAATCCATCAATCAAGACAAACAGCAAACACCTCTGAGGTATGACCAACTCGTGATCATTAGTTTAATAAGTTTATGAATCAAAACGTTAACTTGATACATATAAAAATGATCTGGGTCTTTCTATTGGTCTTCTAAATAGTTAAAACATCCTATTTTAAACATGTTAAATTTAACCACTAGATGGCAAATTCCAAAATTTATTCAGTATAATAATATTTAGTAAGTTGCTTGTGAGGAAGTTTTCAAAAGAGTTAAACGGATGAATTATCCTAGTACATGTTATTCCTTTTGGACCTAATACCTGTTGAAATGAATTATGTGCTGATGAAATTATTAAAATAATTTGGGTTCTGATCAGTCGTTTAAATAAAAAATTAGAAACTCCAACTATGCAACTCTAAATATTTAATCTACATCATATTGCCTGTCGTATCATGCTGCAAGTTGCAAAATAAAGTAGCTTTAATCTAATGCCTAGGATAAAATAAGAGCATCCAGCTTGAGCTTTTATAAAAGGAAAGGGTGTGTAACATTTTTGTTAAATAATTGAGACTAGCAAATCAGCAACCCTGTCAATAAAAACTCTCTGAAGTCTGTGCACAGTGAACCCAGAGTACCAGCTATCAATAAGATCATTATGTAGGTATAACCCCCCACAACAAAGGGTGTATGTCTGTTGCTGACATAACTACTTCAAAATTATAATCAGTGGTTACAAGGTCAGAAATGCATGTATATCAGCGTCCTTCAATCCATCAATCAAGACAAACATCAGCAAACACTTTACAGCGAGGCGTGACAAACTCGTGACCATTATAGTTGATGAATCAAAAAGTTAAAAATGATAGATATAAAAATGATCTCAATCTTTCTATTGGTATTCCAAATAGTTGAACCACCCTATTTTAAACATGTTAAAGCTGTCTCTACTAGAATACTGCTAATTCTTAGACGCATGTCGGTCAACAAAGCATTCTAATCAGATTCCAAAGCTTTAATTAATGCCCTAATATGGTGTACCACCCTCCGGGTATTTCTTGATGAGCGGAATGGCCGGACTTGCCCAGGCTTGTCTGAAAAGCCCGACAAAATCGTATTTAAATTATTTTTGCCTTTCCAGTTATAGTTATTAACGGACTGCATGTTTTCCTTTACATTAGACTATCGTTGATATAGATACGATTTTCAACCCTATATTTTCGGATCTAGCCAACTTTTTGTTGTTGGTGAAGAGCTTCGAACATGCAACTCTCAATGACCATGTCTTGTAAAAGGCTTTCAAAATTCACATGTAAACGTTTAAAATAATGCCTAGTTGTCTAAGCTTTTATTAGTGTTTCTTACTTGAGTATGTAATTTAATGTAAAGCCCACTGTAGCTACAACAAAAATGTCATTCTAATCCATATATAAATTCAAATTTTCCGAGTCATGATTTAATTTCAGGAATGCCCTTCGGCATAAAATCATTGCACCAATCACTTAGTTTCTGCGAAAGGCTGCTTCTCGACATCAATAAATTCTTATCATATAAGTTATAGCTAATAGCCTAAAATAAACGAGATTCTTGTGATAAAATGAAACGTGTGTTACTAGTTTTATTCAGTTTTTATTTGCGTCCATTACAAACGCTTAAAGGCGAAGCTCTCTACGGCTGTTGTTTCTGTTTGCATTACGTGGCTATACGAAGCGAATTTTCTTCTATAGAATGCCGAACTGATAAAACAGTCTTTACTCATCGTTATTATAAACAACAAAGTATAAAAAAAAACACCAAAAACAGCAACGCTTGCATACGAATTCCAGATAGATATACAATGATAAGAACATATACGATACGAAACGCACAATTTTCAGAAGGGGAGCGCGCGAATACAGCGTTTTTCTGTTCTAACAATTGCTCGGAAAGTAGAGTATTTTAATGTAAACTGAAGGCTTCTCCGACATGGTTTTTGCGTCGTCATATATTATACGGCATTAAAGGCATCGAAAGAACTCCAAGTACTTCGAGTCTATCGCGCCCTTGGCTGTTCTTCTCTTACAGTTGCTGATACCTATTAAGACTCAAGGGTGGGTTGACTACAAAATTTTTGTAGCAGTTCGCTAGAACTACAGCTACTTCAAAAATATGTAGTCAGCTACAACTACTGCTACTTTTGAACAAAGGTAGTTCGCTACTGACTACAGCTACTGCTCTAAAAATGTAGCGACTATTTCCGGCTATTTCGCTACGCTATATTGTTTAGTTTTACTGTATTTGGAGCATCTACTAACTCAGGGCTGAAATATAACCTATAACAAATCGACTTACGAGTGGCAACAGTGAACACAAAGCAACATTTTTGTAAGCACTACAGTGTTCAAGAGTGCAAATTGACTATTGAGCATTGAGTTTAAGCAAACCGTGTCTCAAGATCATTCTATTCTATCAAGTTGCTAACAATTTTAAAAAGTAGCGAATAGCGATTCGCTGTTTGAAAAATAGTCAATTGCTCGGCTACTTTTAGGCAAAATGTAGTTCGCTATAACTACAGCTACTGTTTTAAAAAAGTATTTAAAAACTACTGGCTACTTGAAAATAGTGTAGTTCGCTACAGTAGCGAACTACAACTACTTCGCTTCAACCCACCCTTGTTAAGACTTCTGTTATCTGGACGCGCAAAATAAAGAATTGTCGAAAAGGTAACGAATTTCGAAAACGACAGAAACGAAAGTGCGTGGTATTTTGATCGTAAATCTAAAATGGCATAATATACTGAACGTTGAAAAAGACTATGCTCCTCCTGTAGTCATATAAACAAAAGAAAGCAACAATACGGTATAAAGTCATTAGACAGTACCTTTAAGAACGTTAAGATATGAATCAAATCAGTATTCAAACACGAACTTTTTCTTCCTCTAATTGCTTCTTCTTCAGTTTCTCCGCAAGGCTAAAAAAGCAATTCGTCGAAACAGTACTTTTAAACCTCCGACCGGATTTGGATTAAAGGGGTGGGGATGGGATCATATTTCACAAATTTTAATATTTTTGTGTTTATTTCGATTTTCACATAACAAAAGCAAGCTAGCGTCTTTCTGGCATTGAAGCTTTGAAAGCATTGAATTTGTTTGATGTTAGGCGTCATGGTTTTTCAGAAATAAAGAGTAGAAAAGCACTGAAGCAGTCACATGACGACCGTCATCAGTCCATTCCATGGGTTCCTTGACTTTTGAAAAATACTGCCGAAAGTTTATTACGCATCACTATGTTCCGTGGCAAACGTTTTGAGAAGTCTCTGCATGCAATGTCAGTAGATCGACGAACTTCTAAGCAAAGGAAACTTGCTTGTAAAATTAAAATGTAAGAATGGGAATTTATTGCGTAATTGACACGTCTGGACGTGTTCTAATAAGAATTAGTCACAGGAATTTCACCTTGAAGGACTGACAATTTCATATTCAGTGACATCTGTCTACTGAGAGAAACGAAATTCTCGTTTCAAATGTGATTCCGTGTGAAATTGAAGAGCAAAATTTAAATTTATGTTTAAATTCATTTTAAAGTTAAGCCATTCGATCAGCTCTCCAACGGTGGGTTGCTGTTTAAATTTGCTTTGGAAAAATATTTTCTTGAGAGATTAGAGAATCAAAAGTTTAAGATACAATAAACAAATCGGCCTGAAGGAATTAGCTATTTTGCCATGCACAAAAATAAGAAGAATTGAAGCATTTCGGAAATGGTTTATCGAAACCTACTACTATTTTCAATCTTTTCGCTTACTTTACATGCATTATGCATTAAACCAACTAAATCTTAGCCAAGGCAATGCCAATTGAGGGCAAGGCTACACGATGAACTCGTGAATACTCTAGGAGTTAAAACGTTAAACTAAAAAATAGTAAAATCTTCCAAATAGTTAAAATACTGTATTTTAAACAAGTTAAATTAGTTCTATCTACTCTTTGGAGAGTATTTCAATCAACTATAATTTTTAGGTAATTCCAAAACGACTTTGACTGGCCGTAACTATAAAAACGTTTTGCTACCCTCTGTCATGTATATTCTCTGATTAGCGAAATAATCAGGCTGTCCATGCAGTTGTGTTGAATTTGTCTCAACCATTTGGTCTCAAGTCAACCAAATGGCAGCCAAATTCTTTTTGGCTTTACAGACTTTACAGTCGTGTTTAGTAAAGAGCTATCATTGACATGTACAGATACGATTTCAGTCAATACTGTACACGGCTATGGCGAAAATCTTTTGATTGGTGAAACGCTTATATAATTGTCTCACCATGCCTTATGAGAAGAATATGTTAAATTCACTTTCAAAAGTTCACAATACAACACCTATACATGCAGCTTTCTACGCTTTGCTGGTGTTTCTTAGTTGAGTACACATAAAGCCCGCCGTAGCTAAACAGGACTATCATTCTGAGTTACATAAGATCAAATTTTTCTTCATCGGTTTTGATATTGGGGAATGCTTTTGACACAATTCCCTTCTCGAATGCTGTTCAACTAAATCGTTACGCACTTTACCTAATTAGTTATCTTGTGCTTCCACGGATTCGATAGGGCAAAGTTTCACTAAATTAATAATTATCCTCATGCATCGACAATGACTAATCGACCATCAAATTTTATAATTTTAAGCCAAGAAAGACAAGAATGAGAGTTCAGTGATGAGAGTTGACAGTCACGCATTATTACAGGGGACATTTGAAGCTCTAGATTAACAAAATAAAGCTTTGATGAGTGTTGTAACTATGTTTTAACTTAAATAGAATACATGATAGTGTTGGGAGAGCATTAAGAACAGCTAACCAACGTCGCGTGACTCCCAACTCTCGTCTTTCATTCTCGTTTCATCCCGCACTCGTTATTTTGTAATTTTTTAAACTTTGCTAATATCATGAATAACATTCTTACATTTATCAGTTAACTACGAGATTCTTGAACTAAAACTGAAATGAAAAGTGTGTACAATCAGCGTTATTTCTTTCTTGTTGGCCAAGCCTATAATCCGACTCGAAGGCAGACGAAGCTCTCTCCGTGTTTGTTTGCGTGATTACGGCGCAAGGCGAGGCGCAAGATTTTCGTCTATAGAAAATGATTCACAGTTTGTAAGGCAGTCTTTACTTTAATACTATATGGTTGTTATCAACAACAGATAAATTTATAATAAACTTAAAAATAGCAGCGACTTTAACCCAAAACAGCACATAAACGATCGTAACTCTATGACCTCGACTCGGTCTGTTTTTTTTCTACAATTACTATATCTATTTACAAATGCTGTTATCTATCCGCGCGAAATAACGAATTGTTGAAGGACAACGAATTTTGAAAAGGATAAAAGCGAAAGTACGTTTGGTACTTTTGATCGTAAATGTACTATGAGATGGCCGCATACTTTACTGAAACGTTGAACTTGAAAATACTATATGCTTATCATGTAGTCATAAAAAACAAAAAGAACGTAATAATATAAATCAAGTACCTGTATAAACAGTTTGGAAACGTTATGATATAAAGCAGAATTACTCAACGGGATCTTTTCCTCCCTTTTGCTTCTACACTAGTTTCTTGAAAATGCGAGGGCAATTCGGCGAAACAGTGGTTTTCAAGGGTGTAAGGATAGGGATCATATTTCAGTCAGTGAAACAATGAATTATTTTTGTTTTCCTTCGAGTTTTGTGTATAGCAAAAATAGACTAGCAGGCCTCCGCCATCATTGTTTCAACCACGCTTCAACAGAATAAGATAATTGTGGTGCTAAGCGTTATGGTTTTCGAAAATGTGGCAGTTTCATTTCACCCGGAAGTTCTCTTCCTTTTACTTTGAGTTCCTTGAATTTTGCCAAAAAATACTGAGAAATTCTATTGCGCATCATCTACTATTTTTTAAGGAGTCACGTTTTGATTCTCTCAACATTTGTAGACAGTATAAGGTGAAAATACTGCGAGGGAAATTCTTTTTGTGTGACGTAACAAGTCTGGGCGTGCGCAAGTCAGAGATTATTCAGGATTCACCTTGAAGGACGTCCTTTCAAAATGGGAGCAAGTACTTCTACTGCCGAAGAACAACCATACACAATACAGGTATATTTAAAATGCAGGGGAATTACTAGATCAAACTACCTGAGAATAGATAGCAATTAGAACTTCGATGTGAAGCGATCAATGCGAAGATTTATCTTTCGAAAGTAATTTGATCCTGTAGCATATAAATTAAGTTGGTATTGCGTGCGTCGCTATATCTAGATGAATAATAATCACTATACCTATTAAAAAAAACCTTTATATTTTCAATAATTTCTGGCTACAGTATGTTCATATTCTAGACAATTGCGGTTTGAGAGAGTTCAACCACGTGAAAAATACAAGGAGTGCTTCGACGTTTCTAGCGAAGGCCCGTCGGTAAGTTAGTATAGTTGACAAAGAGCCTTCGCTTCGAAATGTCGATGTTCTGCTTGCATTTCAGTTCAGGCAGTTGTATCCGTAGCCGTCACAGACGCTTCGAGATTTGTTCATGTTCCTGTCCACTGAATGACACACGCATTCAGGGTGTCGCCAAAAGTAGTATGCCTTTTGAAATTTTCCTATTGTAATAATTTGAATGCCTAGTGTACCTAGGGCCGAAGCGTAAAATACAGGGTGTATTGAAAAACGAGACCTTAGTCTTGTTACTCTTACTCTATTCGTACTCCATTCTTGTTAAATACAAGATTTTCTACTCCTGGGAATATAAAATAGCTTCTAATTGTATGAATTAAAGAGCCTAAGTACTTAACTGCACAAAAATTTGTTAAATTATCCGCGGGTTCAACATAGTCAATGGCATTCAAATTCCAAACAAAGGTTTGAGGTTTAAGGTTTGGTTCCTTTTTTCGGGAAATGCTGTATATTCACACAACATTGTAGTTCATTCATAACTTTAATGTGTTTCAAAATATTCAAATGCAGTTCTATCATCCATTTCAGTGTACAGTGGAACCGTCATTCGACTGATATTTATGTATTAGATAAAGCCAGCATGAGCGGCCATGTTGTATCAGTCTATCAGAGTATACAAACTCGAGACGAAAGCGAGAGGTTCTATATCTGATACAACACTGACGCGAATACGCTTTATATAGCTTGTGAAACTTCTCGGTGAGAACATTCGTGTTCTTTAAAAATTTGAAATCAATCAATGATATTCGGTGAGAAAATTAAACGTAGGATTATGTAAATCAGCATGATTGTGTATCAAACTACAAACTCCTTCACGAGCTGCAAGCTCATGATTTCTTTGCGTTTTCTTCATGAATTATTAATGATTTTCACAAGAGTATAAAGAAATGCATTTAAGTGGGCAATTAATATTTCTGTGAAGCCAACATTGATCTGTGATTTTCCAGTTTTGTACAGTTACAAAGTGCGCAAATTTAAAAGTCCATGTGTAAGATATCGCATTTAACCGGCAGGCATATTTACATCACAAGTAAGCTATAGCACAAAACTAATTTTGGTTTCTGACGTTAGGAAACGGTGCCTGTTATCAGCAAGCGTACAATTGGTAAACTGATGGTGAAACATTGTGGGAACGAAGGTCAGCAAGACGATCCAACGCTCATTGTCACCCTCAGACGAATTCTCCAAGCGACGATCACGAAACTGGACACAGAATCTGAAGAGACTTGGAAGAATGCGGAGATCGTTATTTATGATCAGCAAGGGAATGACTTTTGTATTCGCTCTGGAGATTTCGTAAATAAATTTGTTGTCCAACTCGACGAAAAAGATGAAATTAATATAACTTGTACAAAAAGACAGAAGCGAAGTCTCGCTTCGTTTTTCACGTCCAAACCGTCAAAGCGTCGAACTAAATCATCCAAGCTGGCTGCGATCGAAGATAAAACCACTGACTCCGCTGCACAAATACATAATAGCAGTTGCGTACTGTTTTAGCCGCTTTCATAATACAAATCTGTTAATTGTGCGTCTCTCAAGATTAACTGCATTTCGGTATAGAGTATAGACGCACTGATATACTGGGTGTATAAGAAAATAATGCACTGTTGTAAAACGTCCAATAAAATGAAATTTCCGCAAAATTTGTGACAACTTTATGTTAGTATGGGTAGCTTGGGGTCTCCTGGTATCCCTATCTCAAAATTATTCTAAAAAGTAGTAACTGCAGGGTTGTTTTTTTCAGAACCACTCTAAAAATGACTTGCGCACATGAAAATACAAGGTTTAAAACGCAATTTGAATTCATAGCATTTGAAAGGTGTTTTATGAACTGTCAAAGTACCAGATAGTTTGATGTAGGATCACTTTTTTCCGGTTGTAGGATTTCACGCGCGCATAAATATTTACCACGACTAAAAATGCATGACCTATCAAAACATCACGTGACAAAAAATAAACCAATCAGATGGATTCAGTCAAAACAAAGTATAAACAAAAAACATTACGTTCAGAAAAAATATTTCAACCTGTAGTGCCTTTCCCTGGATCAACTAATTTAAAGAAAATTTGAAAGGAATCCCTCCTCGTTATAAATAATGGCTCTGGCTTTCAAAATTAATTCCCAGAATTCAAAAGGTCTTTCTATCCAGTCTTGTTTCGAGATCAGTGACAGAGGCGTTTAATAAAGTTATCCATCGTTTTTCTAATACTCCTTTCTGTCCCCTTCTTATCCCCTTTCTATCCCTCAATCACCCCCCAGTGTCCCAATAGTTCGCCCCAAGCTCCCAATTTTTGCGCGTTCTTTTTACATTTCCCTCTATTGCTCAAACATCAAAATGGTATGTTGTGAAAAAATACGACTGAATCTCTTAATTTCTCATCAATCCGACTTCAAATTAAGATTTGAAACACCAATCGCTATAGCCTGTATAAAACTTTATACAACTATGCCGTTATTTTATCATAACTTGTATTTAAACTCGAAAAAATTAGCAGTTATAAATTGGTACTAGTGAAAATAATTTATTGTTGATGTCCAAATAGTCGTCTCGAATTTGTGTGAAGTCGGGGTATCCAGATATTATACATACATGACCAGGATAAATCTCCAAATATGTGTGAATATAGATCCATATTTTACTGCATCTATATTGTAAATAGAATTTACATGTATTTGTATAAAATTGTAATTTGGTATCAAATATAGTTCACTACAATTTTAATACTAGTATCAAGAAAGCCAAAAAGGTCTTCGATGAAGTCTAGGTTTCATGTGCAATTTTTTTCTTGTGCCAACAGCACAGCCGGTCAACATATGGTCTATATGGCAACGCAATTATAACTTGATATCCATAGGCGTACAAGATAGGAGGGTGCAGGGGGGCCAACTGCCCACAAAACCTTGGGGAGGGGGGGCTAATCAAGGGGACAGGGTTCAAATTAACAATGTACAATTTGCACATTGTTCTGGACCAAATGGTAAAAATTGCACATCACTTTTCCAAATGATGTGCAAAAAATTGTACTTGGGACTGTTAATGAACAGCCATCCATATAAATTTTATAGATTTAAATAGTAATAATACACCCTTCCTGAAAGTATATCACCTTGGCTATATAGTCTTGTTTTTGTGATTCTGACGTCAGGCTTTAACTAATCTTGTGTACATGAAAACAATGCTCTATATCTTGATTTCCATTCATTGAATATTATTACAAATAATGGTTTCAGCAAGCGGACACTCAATTTTGACAATATGACACATAACTCAAAACAATTTCTTCAGTCCCCTGTCGCAATTTGCAAGCTTCAATCGAGGCAGGCAAGTTTGGACACGAAGGGCTATTCAATTGTTAATTTTCTAACAGATCTTTTATTTACTTTAACATTGTCAACATTTTTTGCAGAGTGAAAACACAGCGACCATCAGGACAAGAAAGTTTTTAACTAACCGCCTGCTTCAACGCAAGCAAATGGTATGTGTCTGTGTTCTTTATTATAGATTTGATTTTATTTGCATATAGTGTCATCACTGTCAACCAGCTTTCGATTATATATTTATATTTTTAATTAACCTTGTCAAATATGATATCTGGTACGTCCCTAGGACTTCATAACAATTTTTATTTTTTACAGGTTGTAGATGTCATCCATCCTGGGCGGGCTAACGTGCCAAAGACAGAGCTTCGCGAGAAACTCGCAAAGATGTATAAGACTACTGCTGACGTAATATTCTGTTTCGGATTCAAGACCCAATTCGGTGGGGGGCGAAGCACAGGGTTCGCCCTTATTTACGACAATCTTGACATCGCCAAAAAAACCGAACCCAAATACAGACTAGTTCGAGTAAGTTTTCAAATCTGTGTGGATTATGACAATTTCACTTGTGTCTGACAAATATCTGATCCAGTGTTTTTTGGACATTTGCTAATAATAATCGGCCAACTTTTTGCATATTTAAATTCAACACGAGCTATCAAATTCGCTTCTTGCATGATCAATCACATTTCAGGGCTCGAAACTTGAAATTTTTGTCAGTATCCAAGTGGATACCACCATCATAGAATCTAGTATCCATCCTTGAAATTTAGTAACCCAGATTTGGATACTAGATATTCTATTTCCAGTATCTAAGCAAGGCAAAATTTTACCTTGCAACCAGGCCTTCAGTTGCTGAGCAGGCCTTTAGTTTCAATAATAAAAATATGTATTGAAATTCGAAAAAATTGAAAATAACACACTGCGGCGAAACGAAAGAAAGCACCGTTTGTGAAATTTTTTTTTTAAATATTCGGCCAAAATCCATAGACATTGACGTTCGGAAACATGCCAAACGTCTAGATTATTATCTACAGTACTATCGCAATTTCTAGGTTTTCCTAGTATCCAGTTGGGATACTGAGCTTATGATACCCAGTATCCAAAATTAAAATCTGATATCCTGTGGATATCGGGATACCGCAAGTTTCGAGCCCTGCATTTCTTAATTTTTATGAAGCAATCTCAATCTGATCAACTGTTTATTGGACATTAGCTAATAATAATCTTTTTACATATCTAAGTAACAAAATCACAATTCACTTATTGCTAAATCAATCACATTTCTTAATTTTTGGGAGGCAATTTCAATGACCCATGCAATTAGCCATGGTACTTTTTTGAAAACGATGTAAAAATCTAAGCGATGTGAAAATATTTTTTCAAATATTTAACTGTAAATTAACTTATAAATAATGATTATACTCACATTGTAGTTATACAAATCCCTTATTCACTGCGAACAATCTCATATTTGGAAAAGGCAGTACCCCAAAAATGCCAACTGAAATGTTCTTGGGTCCCATTGATAGTATTTTTTGTGTGCTTCACTTTTAATTCTTAACCGTGTTTATAGTTGGGTGGCATAATTTGTTGAATGATTTTGAAAGGGCTGGGTGTTAATTGGTCATCAGGGCTACATGTCCATGCCCCAAATCGAATTTTCTTATCTAATTTAAAAGGGGAAAAAAGGTATACTGATACCTGAAAATTCTTATACTGAATGTTCCCATTCAGCATAAACCTTGGTTAAGCTTATCGGAGGATCAGATAGTTGAAACATTTCTATATGGTTCAGAAATACTTGGTTATGAAGAAAATCAAATTTTGATGCGGAATGTTCAACTGTTTATTCTTCAAACTAAGCGATTCACCAGTTTAACTGAATTTTAATACAAAACAACTTATCTTTAGATTTTGAGATTTCTTCATTGAGCTTAACTATACTTTTCTTTATAATTATCTTACTATGTTTGTGTACCTTTTATTTAAACACAATTAATGTACTCCAATGTTTTAATTAAATAAGTCAACATGATCTCCCTCGATGAGCTTAGCTCTTGGAGAAAATTTTGAGAATAAAATATGTTTAATTAAATAAAAAAAACCCCTTGTTTTTCAGCATGGGCTGATGGAAAAGGTGAAGACAGCTCGGAAACAGCTCAAAGAGAAGAAGAATCGAACGAAGAAGGTTCGTGGCACGAAGAAGGCGAAAGTAGGAACTGGAAAGAAATAATCTCACGCCGAGAATACTTTTTGTTGTTCTGAAATAAAATTGTGAAAATTTACTTGTTTTACTTGATGTTTTGTTAATATGTATGACAGTTCAGAAAACAGGTGCTGACATTCTGACATCAGTGACACAAGGATATACCATGATATTTTAGTATAACTTCAGTATTGAAAAATGGCCTTTGAGCATTCTGATTGGCCCCCTCAGCAGTAACTCTGAGGCAATAGTTACTGCTCTGAGCAGTAACTATTGCTTTTCCCCAAAAATGTCTGAAAATCAAACTTAAATCAAAGTAAATTATTTATGCAAATTATATTCATAAAATAAACCTGTGTATTAGTTGTATTTATACATAAAACTTTTTCAATACTGAAAATATACTAAAACAATTAGTTGCCTCAGGTTTGGTGATTACAAGCCTATATTCACTTTGGCTCAGTGAATCGAATATAGGCTTGCAATTGCCTTCAGCCACTAATTGTTAAATAGTGCAGTTCATACGGAGATCAGTGACACGAGGATGTATTTATAGTCCAGGGGTGTTTCCATTAACACAGTGAAATTGTTGAATGGAACACAAAACGTTTCGGTTTCGGAGCTACAGTATCTGACCAGTAAATTTAGATCAAATTAGAAGGTCCATTTTCGAGCCTATCGAGGTACATTTTAGCTAGATATTTGAGAAACATTGGACCGGATCTTTCCATTGATACAGAGACAAAAATTTGGGTCTGACCGGTCAGGCCACCCAGTAGTAACAGAGAGTCCAGTTCTTTCAGAATAGTAAATTTTGAGACCAGTATGTACCTGACTTTTTAATAAGCTAAGTCAACTGAGCTATACATATTACTGGAGGACATTACAGTTCAGTTCACATTGAGGTCAGTGCACGTAAGCATCCAGATTTTACAGTAATTTTAACAGAGATCAAGGGATGAATTTTAATGAGCAAAAAAGGCTGACTCACGTCTGCGGTCAGGGGAGGTGAGGTCAGCGCGTCAGCAGTTTTTCGCATGCGTGTGGGCAGAAAACACGTGACGTCAGTCGAAACGAAACCAAATTTTATAGTTCGACTTTGATTTTTCGCACGTGTGGCAACAAAAACCGAACAAAAAGTAGGATTTTTTTGAAAATAATCCGCTTTAATGGCTTCTGGAGACGAATCAGGGGGAAAGGAGAAGAAAAAGGACCCCAAACCAGAGGTATGAGCGAAATTGGGCGCCAAAACGTGTCCTAACTTGGCCACTTTTACAACCATGAGTGAAACTGGAATGAGTCAGTTTTATCGTTTTCCATCGATTTCTGGTGTACAGGACTTGTGTATGCGGTTAAGAGTTTGAAAATTTTAGTAAGATTTGTGTTAATTCTGTATTAGTTTTTGTTCTGTACAGTTGAAAAAGAAATTAGATGTTTGTTTGTCTTTGATATAACAAACAGCAATTATGCAAGGTCAAACCTTTTATTATAAAATTGTCGTAAAAATATCGTATTAAATGAGGTTTCACTTTGAGGGTGATGTAGGGAGGTGTGTATTAAGGCAGCTTTTTGAAAAGGTATATATTTAGTGGAATTTTTATGAAATAGATTGGGATAAGTGTACATATTAATAGCAGGAAACAATCTTAAAAGTATTGAGTGCTATGAATTATGTAACGAACAGATTGAAAATTGTACTAACCTTGAACAGACTATGCCAGTCAGCCAATGTAGGTACTGACATTTAAATGAGCTGTGGATAGGGAGAAGTTATGAATACCGTACCTGAATAATACAAGCAGAAATTCAACTTTTCGACAAAGAACCTTCGCAACGAAGTGCCTTGGAACCCCAATCCGCAGTTTTCTTTAACCCTTTAAGTGGCAATGCTCTCAGATGCGATCCACTTTATTACTTTACTCTGTCTAATGCCAGAAGATTTTCCTTGTCAGGGGGAGAGTGCTGCCACTTTAAGTGGCAATGCACCCAGATGCACCCCACTTTATTATTTTACTCTCTCTAACGCCAGACTTGTCAGGGGGAGAGTGCTGCCACTCGATGGGTTAAGATTGTACTCAGTGTGGATTATAACGGTCGGCAATCTGCTATTTGCCGAACAGAAATTGTAAATGGCCGATCAATCTTATTCTGCAAGCACATTTTGACCGAGCAAATAAAATAGGCAGTTTTTATTTAAATAAAGGTTCAGTACTGTTCATAAAGAGAGAGAAGGAACACAAAATATTTTCTTGGCTTTGCTGTGACAAGCAACAAAATCGCACACAGGTTTATGGTACTAGACATGCAGAATTCTCAAAAATAGCAGAGTCACATATTTTCATAACTGTGCCTAATTAAAGCAGTGCATAACAAAAGGAAAAGATTAAGCAATTAATTTAATCACGAACTTGTCATAGCTTAGCTAAGATTTATTTTTACTTATGAATATGTGTGTAGTTTATTGAAATTCATCAACTTAAGTCCTAAAGGGGTTAATTTTCAATGGTTTTAGACCCAACTCTCAACGGTGAAAATAAGCGATTCTGAGTAACATTTTTTATCGTTTTTATATTTGCTCATTTTTTATCCATTTGGCATGATGAACGTACCATTCGTTCATACGCAGAGTAATTAAGATACAATAGCACGCTGAAATTTGATTACATTTTTTTTGTACACCCTGTATATTAGAATAATTCAGGTAGGCTTTGAAATAAAATCCAAAAATTAAGAACGCCCTGTTTGTTGTTTTGCAGACTGTAGCAGAGGGGAGCAAAAATGAAGCTGATATATCTAAAGAACTAGCTGTCAAACATCCTTTACAGAACAAATGGGCTTGGTGGTTTTATAAAAACGATAAATCGAAATCGTGGGAGGCAAATCTGAGATTAATAACTACTTTCGATACTGTATCCTTTTAATTTGTAGTGTAACAACGACAGAGTTGATGTTTGTTTCCCGAGTGTAACATGGTTATTTTGTTGTATTGTATTGAAAAATAAACTGAGCCATTCTCAAAAGACAACAACAAGAATGAAATACTATTGTTCCCAGTAAACTGCCAAACGACTAGCGTTAGACAGCAGGGATGAGCCGATACCAGAAAAAAGTCGATTCGCCGATCCGATATATCGGAGCCGATATAAAAAAATAATCGGCCTATTAATCGGCTATGGCCGATATTTCTGTGTACCGGGGTACAAGCGCTGGATAACGGTTTTTTGACAACTTTTAATACTTGTGTATACGCCACAAATTGATGTACTAGTTTTAGTGTGTTCCGGAAAATATTTACTCATATTGGACAGTTACTGTACGAGTCAAATGAATTAATTCAATGGATATGGGATTAAAATCATTAAATACGCACACAACAAAAGTGTCAAAAACAAGATGGAGTGTAGATTACTAGATTATAGAGTTATTTTTCTTAAAAAAACGAAAAAATTGCGAATATCGGCAAATAGCCGATTATAAAAAATAATCAGCCGATTATTTTGAAAACGCCAAATATCGGCCGTACCGATTAATCGGCTCATCCCTATTAGACAGAGTAAAATAATAAAGTATTAATAGGGCACATAATGCAACTTTAAAGGGTTATATGGAAAATATTGGAAAATCGGCCTTCAAATAACCATCTTCTGCAGGACATAGAATTATTCAAAATTAATTTCAGATACATGTCATTGTAACATGCGTTCATTGTGGTATAAATCCTTGACATAATACTCAAATATAAAAGGTGGAAGATTTTTGGGCAATATACAATCATATTAAAAATGCAGGAAAATTAGGGTCTGGCTGTGACTATTCTGTTTTTAAGGTAGTGTTATGTACTATTATTGTTGTTTCATTAGAGTACTAGTACCATGTACTATATATTGACAATATAACCAAACTTTTGCCGTCTTGAAATGTTCACTTCTATCGCTGACCATAGCCAACTCTGATCCAGTGATCAGAATGTTTCATTGTCTTTTCATTGTTTTGAAAATACCACTGTTCACCGGAAATGGTCATATAAATTATACTTATAAATCATATAAATTATAATTATAATTATAGCCGGCCCACTAAACGGCTGAATTTAAATTAAAACTGCAGTAAAATTAGAAAATAATCGCAAATTAGCGAAATATTGCAAATGTAGCTTATATTAAATCGCCATCAGAATATCAGATTGCACTATCGACTAACTGACGTATAAGATGCTTGTGATGTTACTCTGAGTGTATATCCACACCGGGCAAGCTTGAAAACTATGCCTGACCACGGTGGGAATCGAACCTACGACCTTTGGAATGCTAGCCCAATGCTCTGCCAACTGAGCTACGTGGTCTGGTTGGTTCAAGTATGTGATATTTCGGAACAGAGTCTAGTTCCTTCGATATCAATGTAATTTCGTAGGTTCGATTCCCACCGTGGTCAGGCATAGTTTTCAAGCTTGCCCGGTGTGGATATACACTCAGAGTAACATCACAAGCATGTTATTCACCTGAGTACATTGCACCAACACAGAAAATAACTAACGTATAGTTATAAAGTATACTTAATATATATATATATATACTTTATAATTACTCGCTGGGGCACCCTGTGCCCCGGGCGAGTATAGGTTTCGGCTTCAATCTCCAATTTCCGATAGCCACAAAATAGAATATTAATGAGCTGCTTGATCCTTCAAAATGGCGCGGACTTTCGTGGAGTGGGCAAAATGTTTTCAACAATTTCGTGAAAATTTTGAACCAATTGTACCTGTTTTCTATCGATTTTGGATTGTATGTAACTGTGGACATTCCTGCTAGTTTATTTAATGCGTTTTACTTGGTGCACGGCTCTGAAAATCCGAAATTTGGATCGTGGAATTCCCGTGCACGATCATAATTTAATACTGAATCTGAATATAAACGAGCCAAAGACAATTTCAAGGTAAAAGGTTATAACTTAAACTGCACAACGTAGTTTTAATCAATAGGCTACTTTATGAGAAGCATATTCGTGTCATATCGATATGAATTTTATCGAACAGTCCGTGAAAATTGCAGTGTACTCAGTGTGAAATATGATATTGTATTTGTATAAATGCCTATTACAGTAATGGCGCAATAGCCAATAAGGATAAAAATACCACCGTTCGATTCAGCATAAGAAATTGCACTTACGGATGCCAAATGTATCACTAAACAACAGTATTCTAACGATTTATGGACTTTGAAAATCAAGCGACATTTTTATTGTTGACAAATTTAATACTCGCCGTTTGACCTTGTATTTGTAATACTAGTAATAAGTAATGGCGGATAAAAATATAAGAAATTGTACTCGACGTAAGAAATTGTACTTATATGTGAATGAGAAATTGTACCTACGGGTTTCAACTGTATTACTAAACAACTGACAACACTATTTACAGTATTCTAGCGATTTATGGCGTTTGTCTTTGAAAGCCAAGCGAAATTGTATTATTTGTTGACAAACTGCTCAAATTATAAAATATTATATAAAATGCAATATGTTTGATCCTTGATAACTTTGGTATCGTTGGTTTTCTCTTGTTCGGCCGTATGCCAGTGGATTCGTCTAACTTCTCTCTTCATTTTGATAATATTTCGAGCCCAAAAGCCCAAAAATATTTTAGTTTGGACGTTTTAAACTAGCGGCCAACAGAAGAATGTAGCGTTCTACAAAATACAACCTTTAATACTTGTGGGCCATAAACGCCGGAAGTTTTATTTGTACTTGTAGCACAGAATACTGAGAATAGCTTGTAGGGTACCGCATTTTAGTGTGTTAAGCTTTCGCACTCGTATTCGACTTTTCCGCTTATCTCGGGGTCAGGCTTAGATCTTGATAGACCTTTCCCCTTTTCAGTGAAATTTTGATCTACATAGATTAGCCTGGACAAAAATTTCATCACAGCTTGGAAGAGCATTGCAGAATTAGTAATATTCCGACGTTTCGTTGCAAAAAGTTGTAAAATGCGGAAAATATAGCCTGGCAAGCTTGCCGTTTTCAGTCATTTTGCAGTACAAACGGAAAATTGATAATCAGATAATGAAACTGATGGTCAATTTCCCATTTGTAATACAAAATGACTGAAAAACGGCAAACTTCGCATTGTTATATTATCCGCATTTTAAATATGACTAATTTTGACATGCTTTTTCAAGCTGCAGGCGCAGAATAACGTACACAGAAGGGCGACTTCTTTGTTTTTCCTATGATCTTGGCGTAACCGTAATTCGTCACCAAATGCTGACGTCATCAAATGCAGACGCCATTCACCCCCCTGATAATATTCAAAATGGCGGACGTCCAGGGGGGAATGCCTCTCAAACCCGCACTGGCTAGGATCATGGCGTCAGCATTTTGATGATGAATCATGGCGTGGCAGCGGTTACTCGAGTCGACCTTCTGTGTGCATTATTCTTTGCTGCAGGGACGCCGAGAGCTTGGCGGGGCCCCGGGGCAAATTTTTCTTAGGGGACCGTATTCAAAAAAATTTCCGGACGAGTACGTTGTAAATGCTTTTGTGGGAAATTACTGCAAATTTTTCATACCAAATTTCGGTTCTTCGCCCGAAAAAAACAGATATTGTGACCCAAAAACGGAAATATTTCGCGCAAAAAAATGACTGGTGCCCACCAAAAAATTTCTAGGGACCCCCAGAACATCGTGGCCCAGGGCAATTTGCCCCCCCCCCCCTCTCGGCGGCCCTGTCAAGCTGTGATGAAATTTCTGTCCACGCTAGTCTGGATAAAAATTTCACTTAGAAGAGGAAAGGTCTATAGAAATATCTGTGTACTGTATCTGGCATCATATAAAGTAATGTGCGTATATTTGTACAGCCCCAGCGAGTTAACGCTCAATAGAGCGTCTTGTTGTATGTCAATTTGTTGATAAATATGGTAAGCGCCATGTAAAGCTCGTATTAGTCACTGAAACCTCTGTGGAGGAGAGAGCAATCGGGTGGCGATTTAATATAAGCTACATTTGCAATATATTTCGCTAATTTGTGATTATTTTTGTTAATTTTATAAGTTCATTGCAGTTTTAATTTAAATTCAGCTGTTTATTGGGCTGCCTATGCTATAATTAGATTGTTGTTGTCGTTGTGTGAAATTTAAATTTCTCCTGCAACATTTTGATTGGATACTAAATATAAACTTTGCTGTGGGTGGAAAGCGATCAGGTTAAGTTTTGTGTCAGGCTCTATTTGTAAAATAGAGCCTGATACTCA